AGCAGCTGGCAGGCAGGCCACACAGCCCCCACTATCCTAGGGAGCAGCCAGCAGCCACCTCCACCCCAGGCTCTGAACTCCTCAAACCCTGCTGTGACTCCTGAATCTCCCACCTCTACCCTGAGCCCCTCCTCACTCACAGCCTTGATACCTACACTAGGGATGTAAGCACGTAGTCAACTATCCACTAAGCATAAACGTATTGAGTAGTCGAGTGGAGTATTCAACTACTCGCTTCCCTCCTCTTGCTGCCTCTGTATGAGAGGCAGCAAAGGGGAGGGGAACAGGACCCAGTGCTGGGGAGAAGCCGGTTTCAAAAGTAGGTTTCCCCCCAGCACTATCTCAGTGATGCTGCCTGCTCCCTCCCCTATTCCCTCCCTCCCCCACTGCCTCTATCAGAGGAAGCAGGCAGGGATGGGGAGGCTGCTCCAGCAGCAGCCTCTGTCCCCAGGCTGCTGCAAACATGGGCTGCTGGATCCAGCACGAGCCGGGGCCAAGAACTTCTGAGTTGCACTGGTCTGGAACCACTGCACCTCTGGATTTTACATGTAGTATGAGGCTGGTTGCTCTTACTACATTTAAAATGCAGAGCTGCTGTGGTCCAGAGCCAGTGCAAGCCAGGACTGCTCAATCCTGGCTCAAGCCAGCTACAGGAGCTACCCCCACTGCAGCTCTGCAGAGTGATCCTTATCAACTAATCATGTAGTCGATACAAATTGTATCAACTACATTGTTAGCCAAATATATGCTCTTTAGCATCCTTAACCTGCCCCCCTTACATCCCCCAGCCTCTTGTCCTGAGCCCCCTATATTCAAGACTGTACCCCCCTGCCCTGACTCCTGCACCTCCCATCCTCAGCCACGTGCCCTGAAGGACCTGAGCAATACTGGGTAAATCTTCTAGTCTACAAAAACAGAGCTATCGGAGTAGGCAGGTGGTGCTGGCAGGGAGAGGTAGAACTAATTAGTTATGAAATCTCACAGAAATAAAGAAAAAAAAAGAGAGAATTCCAGAGGGCCCAAGAGTCAAAGAAGCATATGGTGCCAAGTAATTTAAAAATAAAAGTTTGAGTGATCTGAACAAGCAAGTCATCTTCAACATTTTTCACAGCTTGCACATATTTAATCTACTTCTGTTTTTAAATTACCAGAGAGTGAACTCCCTTGGCACCTGGCCTGCTTCCTTCTTGATGGGTAGAATGGAGTACCATGTGATCACAGCAAAAGAATTACCTTGCAGTATTACCAATTAGTTCAGGAGCCTGCCCTTAGCACTTTCCAAGTCTCCTATCAGCTACACAGAGGCAGTGGTACAATCCGGGAAGGATTTCTACCAGGTGAGGCAACTATTACATTTGCTTAATCCTCTCTACCTTTTTTTTTTTTTTTTTTGGTGTCTGGATGGATGTCCAAGAAACAATGGTGGACATCTGTCTGCTTTGGATCATGGACTATATTAGTGCAAACTTAGGATCTTGAAGATCATTCCTGCAGAGTCCACTTGGGGAGATGCAATGCAGCACTGTGGTGCATAAAGGCAGTCCCCAGGTTACGTACAAAATAGGGACTGTAGGTTTGTTCTTAAATTGAATCTGTATGTAAGTCAGAACTGGCGTCCAGATTCAGCCGCTGCTGAAACT